TCATTAATGGGAATCTAGTTTCCCGATTCTCAAGTTAGATTTGATTTGGCCAATCTTTTGGAGAAGGAAGATATGGATTTGTCAAGGCTCAAAGAATCCTTTTCATTTCTAATTGACTTTGGGTGCATTAACTTTGGGTTGGTCTTGTCTTGTATGCTTTTACATCTAAATGAGAGTGAAGTTTGACAATTCCTTATTCATTACATTTTAAAGATGTTTATACTTCACATTGCATTTGATCCTTAGAGCAATTCTGTGAAGTTATCTAGACTTCCAATTTTAATATAATACTAATATAATTATATTTCTATTGAGGTACAAAAATGTTAAGTAACTTTGTTTCAAATTGGACAGCTAACGGACAAAATCAGAACTCAGATCTCCTAATTCTCGACCTAGTGCTTTCTTTGTATGGAATTAGACTACAGATCCTTAGGTTTGAGTACATGTATTTATCCTAGTGGTTTTTAAATGTGGTAGATTGGAGGGAAACAACTGTTCTATAATCACATGGGATAAATGTTTTTAATCCCTAACCTCTTCCTCTCCATGCCTGTCTGCCTGCTTACCTCCTGAGAGGCTATACCAGAATTGGAGGCTGGAGTGGGCAGTCTAGTTCGAAAAAGCTACTCTGGTGATAATGACATGTTGTCATCTTCTTGAGAATAATTGATTTAAAGTCAAATGCCTAATTTTCAGTAATACATATTGGCCTCTCTTGACTTATATATTTTAAAAAGTTTATTTTTAATTGCAAAATTGAACATTTAGGGATTTATAGTTTTCACACAAAGGATCAAAAGAATATATTATCAAATTGCAGGTCATTTTAACTGATTTATAGACAGAGAATTTGTAGTACAGGAGAGTAGTATTTAGCTTGAAGTTGGAAAAATCGTTGACATTCAAAGGAAGTCTTTGTTACTTTCATTTTTCCAATTTTTCTTACATGATCCATTTAATTAAAGCTGCTTGAGTCTAGCCTGTATTTGAAAGATGACTTCTTTTATTCTTTCACATTACTACTGCCTCTGCATTAGCTTTTCAACTACCTGAAATGCTCTTTTCTACCTCTGCAAGACCCAGTTATTCTCTAAGTTGCAGCAGAAATAAATGTTTTCAAGTAGATAGCCCCTTGTGGGAAGGTTAACTCTAGTCATCTGTCTGATAAGAAGTAGGTAGGATCTACATTCAATAGATCTGACACTTATTAAATATGTCATTGCCTCTCAAGTCAAACTATTAATAATAGACTATCCTAAAAAAAGACTTTTTAATCACATAATTGTGTCATATCCTGGCATTATTACTTCACTTAGATGTTAAATGTTTCTGAATTCAGATGTTATCTCACTGCACTGCACCCTAGGCAGCCATTATCTATAAATTATACTTAGCACTGAAGATGAAACCTGTGACCACATTGCTACAGTTTTCCAAACAATTAAAAAGTGTTTTTAAGAGATTTTAAAGCATATTCAACTACTGAAATAAGCTAGAATTCATTACATTGTTGTTATAGCAATATCAGTCAAGCACTTCCTTGAATCTGCAAAACAAAACTTGGCCCTGGCCAGTGTGGCTCATTTGGTTGGAGTGTGGTCCCATACACCAAAAGGTTTCAGGTTTGATTTCGGTCAGGGCACATGCCCAGGTTGTGGGTTTGTTCCCATGTATGGGCTTGTGCAGGAGGCAGCTTATCAAGGTTTCTCTCTCACATCAATATTCCTCTCTTTCCCCCTCTCCCTTTCTTCCCCTCTCACTCCCTCCTCTCTCTAAGATCAGTACAAACAGTTATTAAAAACAAAGCAAAAAATTTTTATTTTTATTGTTGAGGGTATTACAAATGTCCCCTACTTCCCACCCCCTTTGCTCCCTCTGCCCAGATCCTGCCCCAACCTAGGCCATCACTGCACTATTGTCTGTGTCCATGGGCTGTGCATATATGCATATAAATTCTTTGGTTAATCTCTTCCCACATCCCCCCTTTTGTTCCCCCTTCCCTCTGAGATCTGTCAGTCTGTTCCATGCTTCCATGTCTCTGGACCTATTTATTCATCAGTTTATTTTGTTCATTAAAAATCAGCAACACCTTGATTCTTTTGTTTTATAATACATATGCTGGTTGGATGGCAGTGATGATGAAAGATACTCTGCAGAAGTGATATCAAGTCATAGCAGTTCATTATGGTTCTTTTATCAGCATCAGTGTCAACATAAGATTTAGGTGCATCAAATGGCAGAGAAAATGAGGTGATTATGAAGCAGGATATAAAAGACTACTATTAACTTGAATTCTGGTCTATAAATTGAGAGGGAGGTACTTGTACAGTAGTAGTTTATTACCAAAGAATGTGCTGATTGGAGACTACCTTTTCCCTTTACAAACCTTTCTTAATAACGAACCAGTCAATATTCCTTAGGTGACCATATTCCTTCTAAGAATTGTTAAGATAACTATAACTTTAAACCTTGTTGCTCATTTTTTCTCCTTACATATGTATGTTTGTTCTTGATGGTTATAGAACTGGTAACCTCTTGGTTCATGGGTGGATACTCAACCCCTGAGCCACTCCAGCCAAGCTATTTCTTCCTATTTTAAATAAGTTTAAGCTGCAACCCTTTATCCCAGTGGTTCTCAACCTTCCTAATGCCGCGACCCTTTAATACAGTTCTCATGTTGTGGTGACCCCCAACCATAAAATTATTTTCATTGCTACTTCATAACTGTAATTTTGCTACTGTTATGAATCGTAATGTAAATATCTGATATGCAGGGTGTATTTTCATTGTTACAAATTGAACATAATTAAAGCATAGTGATTAATCACAAAAACAATATGTAATATATGTGTTTTCCGATGGTCTTAGGCGACCCCTGTGAAAGGGTCGTTTGACCCCCAAAGGGGTCGCAACCCACAGGTTGAGAACCGCTGCTTTATCCTCAAAGCTTCTCTAGCTTGGGAGGAAGGTTTTCTTCTTTTTCCTGTTAAAATTTGTATTATACAAAATTAAAATGATTCTTGACTTGTTTTTAACATATGTTGTTTCCCCATGTTTGCCTTTCACCTTGTTTGTTCTTTGCCCTCTGCCTTTCTTCATATATGTATGTATCAAGTTCTATTTATATAGGTCCCTACTATCTCAATATTTTCATTGAGTAATATGTTTTCTGTTCATATTCTCATATATAAGTTAATTGTCCTTTCAGTTTTCAAAATTAAATTTAATGAACTGATTTTTGTCTCTATTTCTATGTAGAGAGAAAGATGGATTGTAATAGATGGTCTGATTTCTGTTTATCGTATTTCTGATTTTATCTTTGGGAATCCATCCTTCTCTCTTCCTAGTCTGTGTACTTTGGGGTGGGAGCTCTTTGTCCCCAAATTCAGAATTGGAACACGTGATCCTAGGTCCAAGTAATCTAGTCATTGAATACATTGCCTTTTGTTTCTGATTTCTTCAATTTGGCATAATAATATTTTTGAGATTCACATTAAACTGGGATAAATGTATATACATAGGCGTATATGTATTTATGTGTATAAATGTGTTTTTTAATGTATTCATTTTAGAGAGAGAGAGAGATGAAGGGAGAGGTAGAGAGAGAAAAAAACATCGATTGTCTACCTCCTGCATGCTCCCTACTGGGGATCGGGAATCGAATCTGTGACCTCTCAGTGCATGGGATGATGCTCAACCAACTGAGCCACACTGGCCAGGGCTGTGTGGTTATTTTTTAATTTAACTTGTGGAGTTTTACTCTGGACATGTATGAGTAGTATTCAGCAATGGACTTGATGAGAACCCTGTATAGAGTTGTAGAATTCTTTCTCCTTGTAGCTCCTTCCTCTGGTGTCCGTCCTGTCCTATAAATTCTTTCCCTTTTGTCTTTCCTAGACTCAGCAAGATTGTTGTACTATGCTTGTGTTCTCTTTCCTTGGGCCTGTGAATCTTTCTGTGAAAACAGAAAACTGGGTCTGTGATAGTGCTCACTTATTTATTCATCTTCCATCAAAGATATCAATACTGTGCTGCGTAGTGTCCAATGCCTGAAAGCAGTTGTTTCATTTACCCCCGCCTCAATTTTCTAAGTATATGTAGTAAGAATGTACGTCTAGTAATAGGTACCTACCAACACTGTGCTGTTGAAAGTATTAAGTGGGTTAATATATGTCATATGTTTTAATGGATATAGTTTGTGCTGTTTTGAGTATTAACTATCATTACCATCTTCATTACCTAGAAGAGTTATTGAAATTGGAATTGTAAATTTATCATTCAGGAAATTAGTTGTTTTTTTTTGAGATAGGAAATAAAAGCACATTTGGATTAGTAGATCTAGGTAGATGTTTTTGAGTACGGATGATCAAAGAAGATGATAGAACTTTCTTAAGGACTCTTGTGATTGCATTGCACTATTAAAAATTATGGGTGAGTTAAAGTATTGGGGCCATTTTAATATACTTATTTAATTCATTTTAGAGCTTGATGGCCATTAGTGCCATCTTAAACAAATTGTCATTTGACCTGCAATCCCCTGAAGTTTATTCAGCTCAAGAGAAATTTCATCTCTCATTGATAAGATGTTTGGAGACTTTGCGGTGTATGGAAATAGGATTTTGTTGTATTGTTGCTGGCCTTTTCTAATTTGAAATCCCTCTACTTTAAAAGTATCAATTATTTTCTGTTTTCTTTTTAGCCCTATCTGCTTTGATATGATCGAGGAAGCATACATGACGAAATGTGGCCACAGCTTTTGGTAAGATGATTTTACTTAGCAAAATTGCCTTTTGGTATTCTTAAATCTGTGTGTAAATGTAGCTAGTGAGAGGTTTTTTTTTTTTTTTTTAAAGTAATTTTGGTTATCTTGTAATCATATTATTTTTTGATATATCTTTATAGGTTCTTTGGCTCAAGGCAGTAAGCATATGGTTGGTGTATAATATCTGTGAAGTAATTAGGTTTACCATAGGCTTTACAGGTGGATTTTAAAACTTTTGGGTTTATTAATTGTTAAAGAGCTTTTAACTGCTCTTTTAGAAAATTGGGGTGGTGGTTCTGGGTAATCAGTACAAAGCACCTTTAACTCACTTGCGGGAATAGGTATGAGGCCCAGTAAAGCAGGCTAAACGGACATTGGAAAAGAATATAGAGGATTAAAAACTTCTGTGTTCTTTTTAACACTTCTATCAGTGTCATTAATATGTGTATATTTTGTAAAATTTAGTTGTGGTAAAATACACATAATAAAATTTACCATCCTAACCACTTTCAAGTTCAGTAATGTTAAGTATATGTGCACATTGTTGTGTTCATTCAATATCCAGAACTTTTTCTTGCAAAACAGCTACTACATCCAATGGCTAGTTTTAGCCAATAGAAACATTTTTTAATTCCATCATTTATAACATATAACCCAATTTTCAGAGATGCCAAATTGTAAAGCAGCGGTTCTTAACCTGTGGGTCGCGACCCCTTTGGGGGTCGAACAACCCTTTCACAGGGGTCGCTAAGACCATCAGAAAACACATATATAATTACATATTGTTTTTGTGATTAATCACTATGCTTTAATTATGTTCAATTTGTAACAATGAAAATACACCCTGCATATCAGATATTTACATTACGATTCATAACAGTAGCAAAATTACAGTTATGAAGTAGCAATGAAAATAATTTTATGGTTGGGGGTCACCACAACATGAGGAACTGTATTAAAGTGTCGCGGCATTAGGAAGGTTGAGAACCACTGGTGTAAAGGAAGAAAAAAATGTTCAATTCAGAAGAAAAGAAATATAACAAAGTAAAACAAAGTGAGAGAGGAGCCTTGAATAGGCCAGTGGATAAAGTAAAACACAATTAACTCACTCTACACTTGAGATCAAAATTTAACTACGCTGAAACCGGTTTGGCTCAGTGGATAGAGCATCGGCCTGCGGACTGAAAGGTCCCAGGTTCGATTCCTGTCAAGGGCATGTACCTGGGTTGCGGGCACATCCCCAGTAGGAGATGTGCAGGAGGCAGCTGATTGATGTTTCTCTCTCATCGATGTTTCTAACTTTCTATCTCTCTCCCTTCCTCTCTGTAAAAAGTCAATAAATTATATTTTAAAAAAAATACCAGAAACATATATATAAAAAAAATTAACTACAAGCAGACGTACAGGAACTCTATACCTATTAAACAACTCCTCCTTTTCCCTTTCCCCAGCCTCTGTCAATTGCCATTTAACTTTCTATCTCTGTAAATTTGACTCTTCTAGACCTCATACAGGTAGAGTCAAGTAGTACTTGTCTTTTTTGTGACTAGCTTATTTTACTTAGCATAATGTTCTCAAGTTTCATTAATATTGTAGCATGTGTCAAAACTTCCTTTCTTTTTAAGGCTGACTAATATCCCATTGCATGTATATATTATATTTTGTCTATTCATCTGTCAGTGGACTCTTGGATTACTTTCATCTCTTAACTGTTGTTAATAATGCTACTTTGAACATTGGTATATAAATATCTCCTTGAGACACTGCTTTTAGTTCTTTTGGTTATATATCCAGAAGTGGAATTGCTGGATTATAGGTAATACTATGATTAATTTTTTTTGAGGAATAGCCATACTGCTTTCTATATATAGCTGCAGTACCATTTTACATTCCCATCAACAGTGCATAAGGGTTCCAAGTTTTCCACATCCTTGCCAACACTTGTTGATTTTTGCCTTTTTTTTTTAATAGTAGCAATCTTAATGGGTATGTGGGTGTGTAATCTGTGTACGTTTAATTCCTGTTGTTTATTTTTTTGTTTGGGAGTGGTATATTCTACTTGCAGTTAATCATCTTTTTAAATTTTATATTCAGTAGATTTGTTATTTGAATTTATTTTTCAATGACTTGGTATACTATTGTCTAATAAATGCCCTATGTATCTTCTTTATGATATACACATATAACCTGGAATAAATTGGGTAAACTGTTTGATTGCTTAAGTTGAAAATGAGGAATAGAAAACTAATAGACATTATTTTGTGACCAGTTTATTAATCTATCACTGACTTAATCAAACCTATTTTATTGTTTTTCTCTGCTAATAGCTACAAGTGTATTCATCAGAGTTTGGAGGACAATAATAGATGTCCCAAGTGTAACTATGTTGTGGATAATATTGACCATCTGTATCCTAATTTCTTAGGTGAGTCTTTGGAATGATTTTTTATTTTTAAAATATTTTTTCCCCCAAAGTGTACGCTAGCATTTAATTTATTCAGAAAACATAGCTTCGACTAAGCAAGTCTCTTTTCTACTCACCGGATGCTTTCCCCAGTCTTACCTGGGTTGTGACAGATTCCATACCTTATCATTATTTTTAATTTTAAAAAAAATTTGATTGACACAACTCTTAGATTCTTGCATAGATGGCTGGACAGAATGTGAGGCTAAAGAGAATGCCAGATGTTCAGAATACTTGTCTCTTTATGTGGTGTTGTGCATTCCTGCTGTTTCTGTTTTAGGGGCAAAAGTAAAAAACAATGGAAAAAAGGATTAAGGTAGAGCGGGGAGGACAAAAAAAAAGCCATGAACATTCCTGCATGGGGGCAGAGAGTCTGTGACCTGGGAGGCAATAGAAAAGTAAGAACTAGGGAAGGAAGATATGGATGTAGAATTTTTGAGAGAGGAATGGTAGCTGGAGAAGAGAGACAAAATAGGAAACGCTTAGGGTAAGTAGTAAATGGTTGATAATAATATCTTGTCTATATATAAGAATTCTACTTGTTGAATAGCATAAGAATTCTACTTGTTGAATAGCCTAAGGTTTGTTGGAAATCTTTAGATTGAGTTTTTAGGAATGAAGATTAATTTTCCAAAGATTAATTTTTAGATATGGGTAGGCATGAAGTAGAGTACTGCTGTGTATGTTAGTCAAAAGTTTAATGCTTCATTCTAAAGAGTAACATACTCAGAGTTATAGTGTGATGTTTACTTGCATATTAAATTCTGACCTGCCAGTGCTCCAGTTGTAGTTTGACTTTCTCAGCTCAATGTTGGTTTATAATAAACCATGAATTTGAACCTTTTCGGCTATGGCTTTCATTTTTATCTCTGCTCTAAAATTGCATTGGCTACAATCCTTTTTTTCTCTACAATTTAGTATTTTTTCATTAAGGAAAATCATTAGATGATTGCACAGCAGAAAGGAACCTTGGAAGAAATATTGCGAAGGTTTTCTGTTGGAATATCAAATTCTACATAGATAGAGTTTTATGATAAACTTGGAGAAGGAACTTAGGAAATGAGGAAATATAAGTGGTTTGATATTCTGCAGGACTGGACTTCATGGGCTAGGTTAAATAAAAGGGAAAACAAATCCTTCAAAGCAGAAGCCTTTGTTCTTGGATTAATGCTGCCGTGTGGGCTCTAGAATCACTTTTCTATCAATTGCATAACTTTGGAAAACTACTTCTTTTGAAATGATTAAATACGGAAGGGAATCAAATGTTCTGAAAATTTATAAATTTACTAAATTTTTTAAACAATATTCCTTCGTAAGTCCATAAGTTAGAAATTCTGTTATCTGACTTTCTAAATGGTGAGAGAGAGAGAAAATGCTATACACCAGTATGGAAGGAATGTAAAAATGTTGGAAAGTAATTTCATACTATAAATACAGTGTTCTATATATTAGTGTGTGTGTGTGTATGTGTGTAAGGCTCATGTGGGGTGAAGGGGTTGGGTGGCAGTGTCTCATCCAACTATTCCACTTCTGCAATTCTGCATTTGTTCTCCTCCACTCCTGCAAGGCTTGCTCTCTAGTCTCCCTGTTCCTTCCTGTGTAAGATCTCTCTTTAGCTGCCCCATCCTTTCGCGGTCTCTCTTTCTCTTTCTCCCTCCTTCTGTCCCTTCCTCTTTCCCTCCCTTTCTCTCTCTTAGTTTCCTCTGTCTATAGGTAAAAATTATAAATTAATTTTTAAATCTTCCTAATGAATGGCCCTCTATTTATTTATTTTTTAAATATATTTCATTGATCTTTTTTACAGAGAGGAAAGGAGAGGGATAGAGAATTAGAAACATTGACGAGAGAGAAACATCGGTCAGCTGCCTCCTGCACACCCCCTACTGGGGATCATGCCCTTGACTGGGATCGAACCCGGGACCCCTCAGTCCGAGGGCCAATGCTCTATCCACTGAGCCAAACCAGTCAGGGCGAATGGCCCTCCTTTTAAAGTAAAGGACAACATGAATGCAAAGTTTAAAATCCTTGTGTGTTTTTTTTTAAAGTAGCTAATGCATGTAACATCCTTACTACTGTCCTAAGTGCTTTATGTATGTTAACTCATTTAATTATCATTTGTCATCTTCATTCCTCAGGTGAGGAAAGTAAGGCAGAATTTAACTGCATGAAAGTTATTCAGCCAGTAAGTGGCAGAATGGGGATTTGGTCCCAAGCAGTCTGGCTCAAGAGTCTGTGCTTTTACTACACTATCCTGCATCTAAAAAGACAGTTGCTAAAAAGGAAAATTTAGCAGTAGAAATGCATTGTTTGTTCTTAGTACTATGGGTGTTATAAGAATCTATAAAATTATAATTATGAATATAGATTATCCTTCAGTTTCAGTGGTATATGAGATTTCTTGGTCAAATGCAATGTAATATATATGTAAAGTATTACAGTTATTTAACTCACATTTTATTCAAATGGGTAATTCTATAACTGAAATATTAAACTCTTATTTACATACTCCTCTTTATTTCCCAGTACTACATTATTTCAAGCTCTCTTTGTTATCTTCCTTTGGTTACAATGATAACTTTACTTGTGAAATACATACCAGCTTCTTCAGAATCTGGCTCCAATCTAGCTACATTTCCAATCTTAGTTCTTAGCCCCTGTTAATCATTAACAAAATCACTGTGACCCTGTGTTTCAGCCATATTGATTTTAAATCACTTTATCTTCTGCTGTCTTATGACTTTGTCCCTTGCCTCCCCTTCCTCTATCTGAATGTTTTTCCACTTAGTTAATCTCTGTGTTCCTGTTTTGGCTCAATTCTAATGTCACCTTCTACTGGAAGCCTATTTCTTAAATTTTGATTACTCCTCTTCTGTGTTCTTTGTAAATCTGTTTCAATGATAACACTGATTTTTTACATTATGTTACAACTACTGCATCATATATATTTGTCTTCCTACTCTGAGCTGCTTGAGTCTTGGATTGAGTGTTACTTAGATTTAGTATCACTCATTTTTGAAGTTTGGATATCTAGTGTGGGCTTGATACCTCTCTTGTTTGTTAGAAAATATTTGTAGTTGGATTGTGGTGTAGTGGAAATTTTAGATAATTGGGTTTGTATCCCAACCCTCTTATGTACTGTGTGTCATGCTCTCTAATATTCCCTCGTCTCTAAATAGGAAGAACAACCAATGGGATAATGTCTGTAAATTAAAGTACCTACCTAGCCTAGTGCTAGTTTCCCTTTATCATTTTTTTAAATCAGCTAGCTGTTAAAGACAGAATAATCCAATTAAAAGTGGCTTAACCATTAAGGAAAATGTATTGATTCCCATAAAAAGAATTTCTAGAACTAGTTAATTCTGTGGTCTGTAACATTATCAAGTTCTTTCCATCTTTTTGTTCCTCCGTCCCCAGCATATGTATTGGTCTTACGCTAGATCCCCTCAAGACTGCAGGATGGCTCTAAGCAGTTCCAGATATCATCCATTCATGATGGCAGGGAAAGAACTCGTTTTTCTCCTCTACTTCTCTTTCTGAAAGACAGCATTCCCCTCATTGGTCAAAACTAGGTCACAAACTTAACCCCATGTCAGTCACTGGCAAGAGTATAAATGACTAAATACCATGGACCTGAGGAAGAGTAGCCTCTGAAAGTATGTGGTAATCTGACACTTGGAAAAAATCTGCTGTTATTTAAATAAAAGATGGATGGTTTGTGGATAGGTAACTGACATTGTCTGCCAGGATATTTATAGAAGAGTCAAACAAACAAAAAGAAAAAATATAAATCTTTAGTACCTACCTCATAGACTCAACCAGTTACCATGGAGAGCATGGTACAGTCTCACACAGTGAAGAATTGTCTCTCTCCAAGTGCCAAGCAGTGACATTATTGAAACGTGTAAGAGTAGGTACATATTCTGAGAATTCTTCTCCTGTAGTAATAGTAGTAGCAGTAATAATAGTAATAGTTTTACCATTAGTAGCCTGTGACAAAACTGTTTTTAATTTGAAATTTCTGCTTAGCATCATTTTAATTTGAAGCTTTGTAAACTTAAAATACAATTCATCTAAACAGAACAATTAGATGATACATTTAACACAATTATGTGTGTTTCTTGTTTTGTTTTTATTTTCAGTAAATGAGCTCATTCTCAAACAGAAGCAAAGGTTTGAGGAAAAGAGGTTCAAATTGGACCACTCAGTGAGTAGCACCGTATGTTTCAACTCTTATTACTATTTTTAATAAATTTTAATTCATTGTTTTTATTGCTTTAATATTAGATATTCAAATTTTAGTATATTGTTGATTTTTCTTAAAGGAAATTTGTCTACCATTGTTTTGTTTAATAAAGAACTTTCTTAACTGCATTGTTTAAAATTTACTCTAGTGATCATCTTTTGGAAGGTCTGGTGGGATCACATTCAGATAGTTTGCTTGTAATACATGACAGTTGAAAGATTATATGGCAGGGTAAAACTATGTGTGGTAATTTGGGAAAAACTGTTGAAAGAGTCTCAATTTAAGAGGATTAACCCCAAATTATTGAGGCAAGTGAGCTTAAATTAAGACCTTACAGCTAAATACCAAGTTGAAAATATGGCTAGAAAAAGAATTAAAACTCAGGCACTTATTCTGAAAGGAATTACACCTTAAGAGATGCTGACTCAACATTTGTCTTGAATATGCCTTTCATGTCTGTTATCTAAATAAATTTAAGGGGAAAAGAGTATTTAAATGATCATGAGAAGGCAGTGGGAAGCCACTAGCTGGGGAAAAATAGGTTGGAACAATATAGTGTACTAGAGGCCCAGTGCACAAAATTCGGGCATGGGTAGGGTCCCTAGGCCTGGCTGGCGATCAGGGCCAATCTGCGGGGTGACAGGCGGGGCAATCGGGGGGCCCCCTGCTGGCACCTGCCTTGGCTGGCCTGGGGCCTGAGGGCTGGGGGAGCTCCTGCATTGAACGTCTGCCCCCTGGTGGTCAGTGCGCCTCATAGTGACCAGTTGTTCCGCTGTTTGGTCGATTTGCATATTAGGCTTTTATTATATAGGATTTTTGTTATCTGTGTAATAATCATATTAGGAAGTAGCAATTAAACATTTGTTTTAGACACTAAAACAATCTTCTTAGAAAGTTATTGTGTTTCTTTACCTTATTTTTAGAATGGCCACAGGTGGCAAATCTTTCAAGATTTACTGGGAACTGACCAAGATAACCTTGATTTGGCCAACGTCAACCTCATGTTGGAATTACTAGTGCAGAAGAAGAAACAACTGGAAGCAGTAAGTGGTAGCTGAACTTAAAAAAACATTGATTTAAATGGTGCTGTTTATTCCATTGTAAAAGATCTAGAAATGTTTATAAATAATAGGGTAGTGTCACTTAATCCATCCAATTTTATTCAGCAAGAAACATCTTCAAGGTGTCACTTATAACAGATTCCCCTTTTTCAAATAAGAGAAAGAACAAAATGTTTGTAATATAACTTAGAGTGGCCAGTTTGTATTAACAAAAGTTGAGTGTTAAGATCATGAGAAAGTACAATTTTATTTTAATAAGGAACAATTATATTGGTTGTCTTTTTTCTAATGAATATCTTCTTTGCCATATTGTCCCCTCTTTACATACAAGATTTGAAGGAGAAAATAGACATTATTTTTATCTACGTAAAGTCCTCCCAAAAGGTGTCCATTGGTAGAGCAGTAGTATATTGCTTAACTAAGTACGTTTAGAAAGATGGGAACTGGAACTGAATATATCCAGTTTGATGTAATGAGATGTAGATAAATAGAAAATTGCATTTTCATGTAAAAATGTAAAATGTGAATTTGCACATATTAGGAATTGAATATGATTCATGATAAGCAATGCACCCCTTAAGCAAATACCCACCCCAAACTAGCTTAAGAAGCAGATATTTATTGATAGGATAAGGGAGTGAGTAGCTCATATACATAAGAGGGAAGAGCTTATCAACCAAACGTTAGAAAGATTGGAACCATGAATCTGTCTTTGGGCTTCCTCTTTGTGTGTGTGTGTGCTCGCTCGTGCGTGAGAGAGAGAGAAAAACAGGTATGATTGTCTTTTCTAAGATTTTTATCACATGGTAGATGATAGGTTCACTTGTACTTCCAACTTCAGTTTAAAATTTTCTGTGGATAGATTCTGATTAACATAGCTTGATCTGGATCACAGAATGGGAATATTTTAGTGGGAGAAAGGAGTAGGTGAAGTTAAGGTGACCAAAATGAGTTTCCCATTTTGTGTCTTTTTGGGGGGACAGGGTTGTTGCAGATTTGTCCTGTTTTTATTTTTAAGGGGACCTTAATCTTTATATATATATATATATATATCTATATATCTATATCTATATATACATATATATATAGATATATCTATATATATGTGTGTATATATATAGATATATAGATCTATATATATCTATATATCTATATATATGTGTGTATATATAGATCTATATATATCTATATATCTATATATCTATATCTATAGATATATAGATATATAGATATATAGATATATCGATATATATTATTGATTTGAGAGAGGCAGGGAGAGGGAGAGAGATACAGAAACATTAATGATTGGCTGCCTCCTGCATGCTCCATACTGGGGATCAAGCCTGCAACCCAGGCATGTGTCTTGACCAGGACCTATGGGTTCATAGGTCGACACTCAACCATTAAGCCAAGCAATCCAGGGTGGGGGGCTTAGATCTTTACTTATTTTAGTTTTATTGAGATATAATTGACATACAGCACTGTATAATGTTAGTTTTTTTTCCTTGTGATGAGAACTTTAAAAATTTACTTTTAGCAATTTTCAAATTACATTATTACATCCTTAGAACTTAATATATCTTATAACTGGAAGTTTGTACCTTTTGGCCACCTTTATCCAATTTTTCCTCCCCCTGATTTTGGCAACCACAAATCTGAACTCTTTTTCTGTGTGTGTGTGTGTGTGTGTGTGTGTGTGTGTGTGTGTGTGTGTTGTTGTTGTTTTTGTTTTTTTTAAGATTTCACAAATAAGTGAGATTATACAGTATTTGTCTTTCTCTTTCTGACTTATTTCACTTATAAGGTTTTCAAGGTCCATTCATGTTGTTGCAAATGACAAAATTATCTTCTTTTTTACGGTTGAGTACAATAGTGTTTCATTGTGTGTATGTGTGTATACATACACCATTCTGTGGTTTGCTTTCTTTTTTTTTTTTTTTTATCATTTCTTTTGCCGTGTAGAAGCTGTTTTTAAGCTTTGTTAGGTTGGACCAGAGCAGTTAATTTGTCCAGGTTAATTTGCCCCACTAATTGAGGTAACTTTTTTGAGAACTCTACCTGCTGCCTATGTATTTCAAGGTTTTTCTACTCTGGCTCTTGAGAAAATGTAATATTTCCTTTTTTTTTTTTTGTCTGAAAGCAATTGTTTCATATATGGCCTGCTGTTTTGTTGTTTAAGGAGAAGTGTGAATTCTGTATTTCTCACTACATTTTAGCCAGATGTAGAAGTTCAATTTGTATGCTTTTGGTCTGTTGAAAAAAATTTTTTTTTAATATATTTTATTGATTTCAGAGAGGAAGGGAGAGGGAGAGAGAGATAGGAACATCAATGATGATAGAAAATCATTGCTCAGCTCCCTTCCGCATGCTTCACCCTGGGGATCGAGCCCGCAACCCAGGCATGTGCCCTTGACTGGAATCAAACCTAGGGGACCCCTCAGTCCGCAGGGCAATGCTCCATCCACTGAGCCAAACCAGCTAGGGCTGATCTGTTGAAATTTATTGTGGTTTTCATTATATGGTATATGGTCTATTTTGTTAAATGATAACTTGCATTTGAAAACAGCATTGCTCTTTGTTGTAATGCTTTTATAAAATTGATTACGTAGTTTGTTAATATTGTTCAATCTTTTTTTCCTTCTAGCTCTGTCAGTTACTGATAAGGATATGTTAAAAATATATTTTAGATTATCCATTTTTCACTGTTTTCTGTGATTTTTGCTTTGTGTATTTTGAAGCTCCTTATTAGGTGTAGGTGTCCCCCCAAAAATGTATACATGTCTAGGATTGTTATGTCTTCTGGATGAATTGTTCCATTTATCATTATGAATTGTATTTGATTATCACTTGAAATATTCCTTGTTCTGAAGGTGGTTATAGTTAATCATACTACCAGAAGTGCATATCCTTTAGCATTTTATTGATAGTAGATTTAAGGAAAAGAATGTATTGATATAGAGAAAATTAACCACCTAAATCATAGTAACAATTACATAAGTGATTCTTGATTTGTGAAATGTTACCTGCTTATTTTATAGATAGGGACTTAGGCCAAGTAGGGGAAGCACTCAAAAGTTTTACAAGATTTTTAGGTTAGAATCCTTTCTCTAATACCTGAAATTCAAGTCTTGTTTTGTCTTCTCTTCTGTCGACCCCACCTCCTCCCCCTCTTGCTTTTCTTTTCTCTTCCCTTTTCTTAAAATCCAAGTAATAAATAGTACTCCTAATTTACAAAGTCAATTGATATTCCAAGATCAAAGGAAAAGTGTTGTTGTTGTTTTTACCATAAAGTTTGGGGTGCTCTCCCCCTTTTTTACAAATCAGTAGCATTCTTAACCTGTTTACATGTCCTAGTTGATAGACAGAAATGAAGTTTCAAACTTACTATTTTGAAGATAGTTTGTACACTTTTTTTGCAAATGAACTGTATTCTTTATCAGCAGTCTTGGTTGTGCATGTTTCTTTTTGTATAAAGATGTGATCTTGACTCTCTAGCCATTAGTAATCTGTAGACAGTTGTAAATAATCAGTGTGAAGAGTCCCAAGAAAGAGTCCCAATGTATCCTGGGATACATTGTCATATTGTTGGGACACAGAGCACCTGTTTGTTCTTTAGGATAGTTTAACTTCTCAGGAATGTGTCTCAGGTTCAACAAATGCTAGTTTGTTATGCAAGAAAAAACTTCACTTTAAAATCTCATCACACCATGCTTTACAAATGTATGTATTTATTTTTATTTTGAGAGTGTGTTTATTAAAGTTGGGGACAGTGAAAGAAGAAAGGACTTAGGATAGAAAACCAACAGGGGAGACTAGGAAGGGCTGCTTTTGCTCTCTAGAAACATTATGGGAAAGAAGTGAACCAAGGTGGGGCTGCTGTCAGTTCACTGGAGGGTCAGAGAAAAGGGGACCTTGGGGACAGATTGAGGGTTAGCCCAGGAGGAGCTGCCTCTGCCCATTGCTCCCCTGGTCACAAGTCTTCTCTGGTCGTTAGAGTTTAGGAGATACATGCCTGTGGGGGGTAAAGAAGAGAAAGTGAACTGTGTGGCCTGCTCCCAGGAGGGAGAGCACACTTACTTAGTTGTGATACATTAATTCAGTTGTGTTTGTTAATTGGAATATCCTAATGTGATTGTCAGTTCAGATTTGCCTCCTTTGTCCTTTTTTGTCTTGGTTTAACATTTCATTGATCTATTTTGCCTCTTATTCTTTAAAATGCCTTTTAAAGAATATCCCCAAAGGGATATACTCTGGGAATGGAGGTGAAGTGGCCATGCTCTTTTGTAGTACATGTAATATCTTAGTGATTCTTCAAATTTTGATGGGCTATTCTTATTATCTGGGGAATTGTTAAATATATGTATTCCTAGAACTTTTCTAAAGTAATAGAATGAGGTAAAACCTGTCCCAGTGTTTATTTTAACAACTGGCTCCTATGATTCTGTTGAATAGCCGGGTAAATGCAAGTTTTATTAACCCTTTGTATGCCATAAGCATCTATAGAAGCAAGAGGGATGGTTTACGTTTTGGACACATGGCAGTTAACTGGTTAATCTCTCTAATTTATTTATTTATTTTTTTGTTTTGGAAGTGTTCCACTGGGCATTTTTATTCTATTTTTCAAATTTGTATGAAAAATCATAATTATATTTGTTCATAAACTATCTCATTGAAATTCCATTTTACCTTTTGATTTTCTTTAAGCATGTATTTATTGATTCACTTGCAATTCCTTAATTCTTTATGTGAATTTTAACAATAAAATATATATTTTTTGTGATTGTATTTTTTGATACCCAAGAAATGTTAAGCTTATAATAATCATTTATCTGTTAAATTTTTGTTTGTTACCAAGTTGGGTTATTTACCCCTTCCTTCAGTTGATGATATTAAAATTTTGTTTTTAAGTGTTTGATTTTGACTGAAATCTTCTATAAAACTATTAATTGTCACATCTGTGAGTAGGTAATAATCAGAAATAGTAAATTTGACTTCTGATATATGGATTTCTTTTCATTTATCATGCTTCTTACTCCCCTGCAAATAAAATTTTTATGAGGAAAATGATGTTAGTGTATAGAATCTCTACTCTGTTAGTTCTACCATGATTTTTTTCTTGATGTTGTATTGGTATGATTGGAAATAGAAAGGCAAGACAGATAGCAGAATTGCCACTTACCATGAGTAGTTTTTTAGCAAGGTAGATGAGGAATGTAATTTAAGGCACCTTTTTCTTAAAATTAGTTTTAGTTTTGGGGAAAATGGTTTGCTTTTTAAAATTCCAATTAGCAAATGGGAAAACTGAATAGAAGTAATAGACTGACTTAAATGGATGCATTAAGTTGTTTCCTACTGATTATATTGTGGTATTAAAGAAAACGTTGAACTCATAGTTATATTTTTATAAGAACAATTATAATTTTCTATTATAGGAATCACATGCAGCCCAACTACAGATCCTTATGGAATTCCTCAAGGTTGCAAGAAGGAATAAGAGAGAGGTATATTATTTTGTGTATTTTACATAATGTTTTATTTACTGTTGTTGACTATTCCCATTTCTCCCCCATTTTTGTAAAGGCATATCAGGTTAAAATTTTTTTTTTAATGTTTAAAAACCATTTGAGTTTTCTTAAGCTTTGTTATTTTAACTTCTTTTACCTTTACAACTTGATTCTTTAAAAATCCCTTTTTTGGAGATGTGCATAGGATTGCATGCAGTGAGTTACCTCAAAGCTGTAAAGAATATAAAACAGAATTCTTGAATGACAGCCCACCCTTCACCCTGAAAGAAAATTTAGGTAATAGAACCTTAGGTAGAAAGGGTTACAATTTTTGTAATGATAAAAATGCATGATGGGGTGAAAACAAGTAAAAACATAGCTACCTATTTAGAACTTAAAAGATGTAAGTCATGCAGGATAGCTAGAAGATAATTTTTATTAACAATTTTATAACTGGAATGTTCTAATTTAGCACTTATAAAATTCCTTAGTCATATTGCACTTGTACTAAGTATAGAAAAATCAAAGGCAAAATCCTGTGCCCTTGGTAGCATGCTAAAATAACTTTGAAAGTTGTTTTATATTTAAATTCCTATCTCAAATCTCACGTATTTTTATTTTGAGTTGTCTAATTAGGATACTTTTTACTCATTAAGAAATATGATCACCTATTATGTGCTAGGTCCTCGGCTATCTTTTATTATTCTTGAAAATTAAAAGATGAGAAATGTCTCTATTTTGATGAAATACTTTAAGTGTGCATTGCCAGAACCTTATATTATCTTAATATGATAACTCCCCTTTTTTGATTATTCATGATCTGTATTTTTAACTTTTTAGATAAAAGCTTTGTATTATGCTAGTGCTTATAGCTAATATTTTTTACATGGCTTATGACTATATTTTTCTTATCTTTAACTTTTGTTAACATTTTTTATTTTAATGTCTGTTATCAGAAACACTATCTTCATTATAAATTTAAGATTTATTTATTCCCTTTTTTTGTGGGTACTTCTTAAACTTTAATATGCATGAGGATCTTGTTAGAATTCAAGTTCTGATTAAGGGTGTGTGAGTCAGATTTTGGTAATCTACATTTCTAGCAAGCTTCAGTTGATAATGCTCTTGGTCCTTGGACCACACTTTGAATAACAAAGTTGAAAATTTTATAATATATGGAAATAAAATTATTAGTTGAATATATACACTCAACATTTTTTCTATAGAAAATTCTTTGGAAGAGTGATAATTTTCCATATTCCATACAATACCCTACTTTTAAAACAGAATGTGCAATTGTTTTGCAGTAGTTGTACATGTTTCTTCTTGCCTTAAACTTTGAACTTACTGAGACTAAGATTCAGTACATAGGAAATTGCCTGATAATGAATGACTAAATGAAATCAGTTAAGTATCTGGGGGTTAAACGAAATGGCTGGTCATTGTCTGTATCCTGAGTTATTTAAGGTTTTCATTAGCCCCTGAGGTTTTTTAGTGCTTTTCTAGGGGTCTATTAATGCTTACAATAAATCGTTAGATTTGAAATTGTTTCAGGTAATGAGAACATAGCATAATACTGTTTAAAAAGCTGTAAGGGTTCTGAGGTTTTTAATCTTACCAGCAATTTAACAAGTTAGCCTGTCACAGGTTATAGGTGCTGGCAGCGGACGTGTGACTCCTGGGTTGGAGATAAAGGACTTAATTATATCAATCTGGCAGCATCAGCCTCGTATTTGCATCAGTTCCTTGTGACCCCCAAGTTCTACAGGGGCAATGTAGAGATGGATCCAGGTTGACACTACACATACATGGATTTATATTACAACGAAGGAACCCTGAACTTAGGAAACCCCAGTCTTTTAAAGGGGTCTACTAGCAAACCTGTCCAACCTTGATGCAGGGACACACTTCTTATTATATTGATCAGAAAATAAATCTGCCCTGTTTCCTGGAAGAAGCACTGTTTCTGTCTTGCCGGGACATTCTTTATACATAATTAAAAAGATATATTAGAACAATATCTATCACAAGATGAGCAGAAGTATGAGAGCTCAATGGAGAATTGGTTCTTAACAATAACTCTTGTGATCCTAATTTGTCCTCTCTCTAATTTGGTGTTTCTCTATTTTTGTTATTAAATGTCTGGGGTAATAGTGCTGTAGAATTTTTCAGCTTAACTTAATTTGAAGTAATGTGATCTTGTGAATGATTCATTTTGGTTTTCTTTGGTCCATATTTTATCATGGTAAGCAGTTTAACCAAGATACATACTACTGTAGTCCCAGGTACTTCTGAATATTGGTTGCCTCTTCTGTGCACTGATTATATTGTCAATAATACATTTTGGTTTTCTTGTGTTCAGTGTATCCATCATTCAGTGATTTTTGAGTATTTCAAGTTTAATTACACATGGGACTTTGAGGAGCTAGGGTCAGTGATGGCGAACCTATGGCACCTCTGACACGCGAACTCATTTTTTTGGTTGATTTTTCTTTGTTAAATGGCACTGAAATATATAAAATAAATATCAAAAATATAAGTCTGTTTTACTGTGGTTGCAAATATCAAAAAATTTCTATATGTGGCACAGCACCAGAGTTAAGTTAGGGTTTTTCAAAATGCTGACATGCCGAGCTCAAAAGGTTTGCCATCACTGAGCTAGGTTAACAAATTTTAAACATTTGAAAATTTGGAGCTAGGTTAACATACTTTAAAAAATTTACCTGTTTTATTACATTTCATAAATTTCTTCATGATTGGAGTCGGGTACAGTAGTGATTTGTAATCATAATAAACTTTAGTCTAGAAAATATAGTCGAATAATACTTCAAGATTTAGTGTAGATGGAATAAAGTGAGTGGTTATATTTTTTGCATGTATTATAAAGTATATTTTCATATTTAATCCTCAAAATGAATATAATTGTAAAAAGTCTTATCTCTAGTAGTATAATTTGTACTTGGACTTAACTCAAATAAAATACAGAATGATCAGGAGGCAAAGTATCGCTTTTGAATTTATTTTCCTAAGATTAGCATTCAGATTTTTTTAAAAAAAATATATTTTATTGACTTTTTACAGAGAAGAAGAGAGAGGGATAGAGAGTTAGAAACATCGATGAGAGAGATCGATCAGCTGCCTCCTGCACGCCCCCCACTGGGGATGTGCCCGCAACCAAGGTACATGCCCTTGACTAGAATCGAACCTGGGACCCTTGAGTCCACAGGCCTACGCTCTATCCACTGAGCCAAACCAGTCAAGGCAGCATTCAGATTTTGAAAATTAACTTTGATTTCTTATTTATTCATTCATTCCTTCCTTTTTCCCTCACCCTTTTCCTCCCTCCCTCCCCCTAAGGGTATGTTTAGAATATGTTTAGAAAGAGGAAGAGAGAGGGAGAGGTCGGGAGAGAGAGAAAAACTGAGAAACATTGATTGGTTGCCTCCCATGCACTTCTGGACCAGAATGGAGCCCAAAACCTTTCAGTGTATAGGACAGTGCTCCAACCAACTGAGCCACCTGGCCAGGGCTATACTTAACTTTTAATTGGGGTTTTGATGAGTCTTGGTTTAGACATCGATGTATACCAAAAAGAAGTAAAATCTGCCTTTCAGATTTAACATATTAATTTCAATGTCACATCTTCCTTGTATCTTAGGGTATTAGGATCCTATATTTAATTTTTATTTTTTACTTATTTTACCCTACTGACTCTTTCAAATATTAAGAGACGGGATTGTGCACTTAGTAGACCTCTGAATTAGTTATCTATTGCTGTGTAACAAGCTACCCTCAAATTTAATGGCTTCAAACATCAAATATCTAATATCCTGGGTACAGTATAACTGAGTGTCTTGGCTCAGGGTTTCTTCCTAAGCTATAGTCAAACTGTTGGCCAGGATGGCAGTTATCTCAAGGTCCCACTGGGATAGGAACCATTCCAAGCTCACTGGCTCTTGGAAAGAAATGCCAATTTCTTGCCACAAGGGCTTCTCCATAGGATAGCTTCCTACATGACAGCTGGCTTCCCTTAGGAAGCACGTGAGAAAACAAGAGAGGTTTTGAAAACAGCACATACTTTTTGTAAATGAATCTTGGAAGTGACATCCCAACATGGGTACTGTTTTCTGTTCATTAAAAGCAAATAATCCCAGCTCACACGAAGAGAGGGAATTTAGAAGGGTATGAATACTAAGAGGTGGGGATATTTGGAAGCTATCTTAGAGCCTGTCTACCACAGCATTTAATCAATTTATAACTGAACATGTTATTCTTCATATTCAGATTAAACAATCAGGCTTTTGTTTCCATATAAAAGCCAGTCTCATCTGTGCAAATTTGTACTAACATTTGAACAGTTGCTTTATATTTTGTTTGATTTCATTTTTAAATGTACTTTTGGACATTTGTGATACCTGTTTAATTTACTGTAACAGAACAGTTTTGATGAGTCCTGGTTTCTTTTTGGTTTGTTTGGAATGTTAATGAATTGAATTTTTCAGTGTTTTTATATAAAATAAAACACAGGAAAGTTTATTAAGCAAATTTACCGTTTAAGAATCATAGTAGAGTGACCATCCATGTACCACCATCCTGATTAATTTGATTTGTTTTTGTTGTATTCTATTAAATGAATATACCCCATTTTTGTTGCTGATGGACTATTGAGTTTTTGGTTTGTGACTATTCACAAAAGGCTACTATTTTACATATGTAACCAGATGTATATTAGCATATATATCTGTATGGGATGCATGTAGAAGTGGAATTGATGAGTCAAGATATGTACAAACTGTTTTACTAAGCACTTGTGTTACTTAGTTACACTTCCTAGGGGCATTGTATGAGTATTCCTATCACATTGAACTTACGGCAATACTTGGTATCAATAGAGTTTTCAGCTTAGTTGATCTTTGGGGTATATATTGCTCTCTCTCTTTATGGTTTTAATTTGCATTATCCTGATGACTAATTTGGTTGAGCACCTGTGCTATGTT